TGTGAAGAAAATATTAATATATCTTGCTATCTGTGCAAATGGGACAATCCTTGTGCCTCACAATCATTACATAGACGACGACCGGGCTGCCCTTTCTCCGTAAAACATAATCATTTCTATGATCTGCCATACTGGGGGGGGGGGGGGGAACATATTGATGAGCTTTGACATTATTAGCAGAACATTATTTTGAAGATCTGGGCATCAAGCAGAAAATTTAATGAAGTCAAATTCCAATTATAATCAGCAACACATTGTAAGTTCACTTGTTTAACTCTACTGAATGCCAACCAAAAGGAAAAGGACTGGGTTGAAATAAGCAAAGAAGTCATCATTTCGGTCCAAAATCTGATTTTATTGACCACTTTCCAATAGAAAAGGGGGTATTTTCCCTGTATATGGCTGGTGGAGTCTGTCCAAGCATGTTATGGCTTATCACGGTGCAGTGGGAAGCAAAAGATAATGTCTATTAGTACCATAAATCTACAGCCAAGGAAGACCCACTTTATCATTCTGTACAAATGTTTCACCCTCCATTAGAATCTGACACACTTTTGCTCTGAAAGTCCAACTTCTCCTCCATGATCTCAAAAAAAAAAAAAAAAAAGTTTAAAAGCGCTGATGAAAAGTTGAACCCCACAAGTTTCCAATCCCATTTTATGTCATATCCCCACATTCCTTTCTCTTCATTAAGTACTTACTATCAAGTTTCATGCTCCAATATATATATATGTGTGTGTGTGTGTACATATAGAAGTTTACAATTCTCAGAAGAGAGTAATACAGTTATGGGAATGCTTCAGGTTTAACAAAGGAAGAAGGAATGGGGTTTCTGCAAAAGTTCATTTTTTTTGTTCTTCATTCTAAGTCTTGTATCTGCAATGCTTCTTCGTGCAGTTAGCTTATACCCGGAGAAAATGGAAGTTACGGGCAGTCATTCTAGCAGCAAAGACAACAACATTAAGGTAGTCAAATTTTTGCTTTCTGCATTTTCTTCTTAGCTTTGAATCTGACATTTTAGCATTCTTGATTGTGTTTATGAAGATGAACCTTACGCTTGTGTTTGACATTACATTACATGGTTTTCTTCTGTGGGCTTCAATGGGATTCTTGATGCCCGTGGGTATACTTGCTATCCGAATGTCTAATGGTGAGGCTAATCAAAGAAGGCTCAGAATGATTTTCTATGTTCATGCAATTCTGCAGGCAAGTCTTTCTGAACTTCTTCTCTGCTTTCCCCTTCATTATCACTTCCATCTGCTTCAGATTTTTTTTTTCTGGCTTCTAAATTTAAACTCACTTTTTGGTACACACCTTATATTTATTGACCCGAAGTTTATTAATATAAATCCAAGCAAGGGCCAACGTCTTCTAGTCTGTTAACAAGGACTGTAATGAATGATGAAGAGACAAGGAACACATTTTTTTTTTATAAAATATTTTTCTAAAGCTTTCTTGATTTGGTTTTGGAATAAGAGGTTTTGAAGGGAACACAAGTTAACTGTTACTGTGGCCCAACCCAAAGTCTGAGCTCAAAATAATTAAAGCCAGAAGTGAGAACATCCCTATTAATCATTTATTAACAGAAATAACTATCTATAAACAGTGGTCATGTTTGGCTTTGGTATATAATAATACGTTTTTCTTTTGTATTAAACAGAAAGTAGCTGTACTCTATGGTATTATCTGGCTTTGGTATATAATAATACGTTTTTCTACTTGTGGCCACAGAAGGAGCAATCATGTCCATAAAAAACTTCCAGAATGCTTTTAACAATAATCATCAAAGAGTAGGAGTGGCACTCTATGGTATTATCTGGCTTCAGGGCATTCTTGGTATCTTTAGACCTCAAAGGTAACTTGCTGTTCAGCGATCCCTTGCTTCAACTCAAGAAGTTAGATCATATGTATAAACACACACACACACACACACATCATCTTAATTTTCCCTCACTATTCAGTTAGAGGACTTTTATAGTATGTTAATGACCACTTAAAAAGTTTCAAGAGAAGAGTTAAGATTAATTCAACAAATAGTATATACTTGGGTAGAATGATTCTTCTCAAAAAGTTTGTTGTTTTAGGAGAGAATCATTTTAGCTGCTTAGTATCTCATAGAGCAGTTTATAATACAAAATGTGAAACTTAAACATCTTTATATTACCTTGATCTCTATCATTTAAACTAGCCGCCTTTAAAAGATCAGTTTCTGCTTAGAAAGAGCTACCTCTTAGTTTAGGCTTGATAACAGCTCGAACTCAAGTTAGTGATAGGTTGAGAGACTTTAGTAATAGATCTGTGTTCGGTGGATATTGGCCAGTCCCACAGGCTCACACTCGCACACAACAACTTAGCATTTTCTAAAGCCATCATTTTATATCATCTCTTGAATGGAAAGTTTCAGTTTCTTGCTTACGGAAGATGAGAATCAAAAGGGGTAATAATGTTTTCAGGGGGTCTAAAAGCAGGACTGTATGGTTCTCTCTGCACTGGATGCCTGGAACTGTGATTTCCTTTCTGGGCATTCTAAATGTATATATAGGCTTACAAGCGTACCAAGAGAAGACATAAAAAAGCATAACAATATGGAACATATTATTCACTGTTCAGCTTGCTATCATTGTCGTCTTCTACCTTCTTCAGGACGAGTGGGTTTATTTACAGAAGCAGGGAGTGATTTTAGTCAATAAATGTTCAGAGATTTGTTCAGATATCAAGCAGAAGGAATTGAATGCTGAGTCTTGTTGAGAGGGACTTTTCTTATAGGTATTAAACTATGTGGATATACATTCTTGAATAAGTTATTATTGTCTTCAAAAGAGGCATGACCGTTCAAAGATTTTTTTTTTTTTTTTCCTTCTGGACCAGAGACTGAAGGGAAAACCACCTAACCCGGGTGGTACCCAAACAGTCCGAATATCCTACTTATACACACTAACACACTCACACACCCATCTGATGTGGGGCTTGAGAACACCCACAAGGGACCCCGACCATTCAAAGATTGTAAGCTGCATATCAGTAACTGAATTCTTTTTTGTAATATATTACATCTAGTGTTTTATATAAGAACTAATTGAGAAGTTGACTTTAATTTTAAGTATAAGAACTTCATTTATTTTTTCTCCCAAATTTATAATTTTTTTCTCAAAATATCCCTATTGATTGAATTGATATATTAAAAAGTTTTAACTAAAAAGTAGCTTCAATGCACATAATTAAAAAAAGGTCTGTTAGAGTAATCAACATATATTTATCATAAATAATTAACTTGAGTATTTTTCTTAATATCTTCAAATTAGCCATTTGTCTATTACATTAAGAAGTTGAAAGAGTGTATGAATTTGAATGAACAACTTAGTGAACTTTGGATATCATTTAGCTCATGGAGATCACAAAATGCAGCTAATTTGTGAGATTTCACACCCTACTATTTACTGAGATCTTGCTCATGAAGACTAGTAGAGTCTGATACTTTTCAATTAAAAGAGAGTAATGGGAAGTATATATTTACGAGAAATATCATATTCTTCTGGCAAGACTTAATTAACTAATTTAAGTATATTAAAAATAATAGTTAAATTAATTAATATGATATGTTTTTTTAAATATTCTAAGCATCTTTTTTAATTTCCTCTCTTAATATGATGTGTTTTTTTTTTTGCCTAAAATACTATAAACATCTTTTTTAATTCCCTCCCTCCCTTTCATATTTGGTTATCGTTGGGGGAATATGAATAAGATTAATTTTTAAAAAAATAATAAACATGTAAAATAGATATTATAATAAGGTTAACGTCAATTCATCAATTAGTTCCTGTACCAAGAAACGGAGGAATATTTTATACTCACTCAAGTCTTTTTCACATGACCCTATTAACTATTTTCATAAATAGTTAAATATTACAACTCATACAACATTTCAACATTGACTTTGAATTAGAAAGACCCACTTAGGAAGGGGGTGGAAAAGCCAAAGGGATAGGGACAATTTTGGAGATTAGTTATAAATGTTTCATTAAATTTTATAAAGAATCTTTTATCAAGGTTCAAAAGATATGATGTTATAAATAAGACCAAAGCGTGTAATTTTTAAAATCCTCACCTATTTCATGATAAATAGGAATTTTTTTTTTGGTTTCTTTGAACTTAATTGACATTTTATTTTGTTAAAAAAATAATGATTGAGATTATATGGTGTATTATGAAGAAAATCTTCCCAATGCGTGAAATGAGCCTCCTTTTTCATGCTTCCTGCTTCCGTCTACCTGTCAGTTTAGTGGCACTGGGTTACAAACGGAGACAAATCTGAAAGCTAAATTTGGTAATTTCAATGTTAATAAGTTATCAATAACAATATATCGATATACTAGCTCCGGTCCTAATTATAAAAACTAATTGAATAATTTGATGAGATTAAAGAAAGAATTTAAGTTAGTTATTTGTAATAAATATATGTTATCTTTTCTAAAATATCCATGTTAATCAAATGTATTGACTAGAACTATCATTGTTAGAAGGATTATCTTGAAAAAATATATATAAATATGAGAGACACAGTGAATTGAGGTCTTATATTTAAGACCAAAATAAAAATTAACAAGATCTTATATTAAAAACCTGAGGTAGTGTCTAACAGTAATTTGGATAAATTGTATTTCCTATATAAATTATTGAATTTTAATTTGTTTAAAAAAAATGTCAACAAACAGTGGTTGGTAACTGGATGAAAAAAAAAATCATATTAGGATTAAGAACTAATTTTGTTAATACTCCTATAATTTTATATAAAAATAAATAAATAAAGATTTCATTTTTAATAAACTGGCGGTGAGGATTGCAGAATCCGATGCCAAGCAAAGAAAAGCAAAAAGATAGCATCTTCATTCTGCTGCCATAAATGAAGGGTGACAGCAACTCGTCTTTCTCCATTTAGCTTCATCATGGACAGAGATCAAGAAAAGGAAGAAGACAAGGCTGGATCTGTGCTGCAAGATGAAGTTCATCATCCTTACGCCTTTCATGTCTCTGGTCCTCGCAATTTCGCTGCCCTTACGGGAGGGATCTTCTCAATTCTAGTTGGTCAGTAGCCTTCCCAAATTCCTTTTTCTGGTCTAACTAAAAAGCAGATGAATTTTACCTCCTTTCTCATGGGCTTCATTGTGCGTTCTTAACCACGCCAAGTTTACTTTTTCCCCCACCCTGTTATAGCAAGTTTACTCCTGGTTATTAAAGAGTTCTAGAATGAAAATGTAAAAGTTATGTTTTAACATATAAATGGTTTTCAAGATTGAAAGAACTGTGATGGAATGAAAAAAAGACAGGTGGAAATGAATTCGTTTTTGTAGAAACCGTTTGAATGAGAAATGGATGCTATGTAGTGCAGATCAACCTTCCCTATTGATTATGGGTTTAATCAGTTGTCAACCACATTTAAGTAATTACTGTAGGAACAGCCGTGCACTTTTTATGGTGTATGGTATTTGGAATTTCCAGTGTCAAGTCTCATAATTTCTATCGATTTTGAATTTGTTGGTGAAATGGGTTTTGGCGTATGAATTTACTAAAGCAAAGTGCTTTACCAAATGGGTTTCTAAAACGTTCACTTGTTGTTTATGATGGAAGGAACTATAACCAAATAGAAAGACGTGTGGGAATGAACCCTTTATTACTGAATCTGTTTGAACTGAAACACATAGTACCCGTTATAGAATTAATAAGTAAATTCTCATTGATCTGGATCTTTGTTTCTTCTTCTTCTTCTTCTTCAATTTTTTTTTTTTGGGAACTTCCAACTCTTTCGGGGTCCTTGTCTAGTGTGATTTTGAGATAACCTTCGTGGGTAAAAACCTTGCGTTGGAAGTTGTTTTTATGTAGAAAATATTTCTTGTACTTCTGCATAATTAAATTAAGAATTTTAGATATTACTTCCATAAAATTTTTGACAAATAATGCATTGTTGTCTACACCTTAGTCGACCGAATCGAAGGTCCTCCATGGAAGATTTGCTCTGATACCTTGAAGAATTTGGGGCAGAACTGAACAAGTTTTATTTGATTAGAGCTCAAACATTTATAGGAAGAGATTAGGTTTAGGTTTGGCCACAGATTGTTATCCTGATCTCCCTAAAATCATGGAAAGATAAAGGAAAAGATATTCTGCATATCTAAACTATTTTTGGCCTAGAAATACAGGGCTCAACAACTAAATAAATAAATAATTAAACACTTAAATAACGGCATTCTCCATCAATAGATGTTATGTTGGAACCTCTTATCCTCTTGCATTAATCATCTGTCTTCCTTCTGCAAAGGACGATCCTTTGTCAGGTTAATTCTCTCTTATAGATCCAATACTCACTAGCACAAAGTATTTCAAATCTATCAAATTATTTGAACCTGAACAAATCTTAGCATTCACAAGTTTCAAGCGATAGGCGTAGTGCACCAGGAATCAAGTCGCAGTACCAAGCACTCACTGATCTGTCCCTCGTTCTTGCCTTCCCCTAGGAGTCATTTCACTTAGGTTGTACCCGAAGGTAGTAGCACCTTCGGTCTATCAACTCAGTTCTAGAACTTCCTATCTATTCGTGCTTGCCCTTGCCTCCCCCATCATCATTAGTTACCACCATTGTTGTCAAATTAACAAGTCAACTAGATGGACTTGGGGAGTTGACATTCTTAGCTCAAATCAACATGTTAAATCACTTTGTACAGACCCTCACAAATTTGCATGGACTAGAGTGTGACTAGATGGGGCTCGGTAATATTGGACAAACGCGAACATGGTGGGTGAGTCTGAATACAGTATCGAAACTTGAGACTGATAAAACCTCACATTGACAAGTTTGTACCTATGCCATCTCTCTTGGGAAGTCCAGTTTTTAACATTGCATGCAAATAGTTATTAGGAGGGGTGTGTGTGTGTGTGTGTTACACATACACGCATAAAATACATCTCAAAGGGACGGTGCATTAGAATTGTAGTCCACCCAGCCCTTGTGGCATGAAATTGGGAAAAAGTTTAAAAACCTATGCTGCTTAGAAATGCAAAAATTCCAGTGTTAACAAAGAGATAAAATTTTAATACAGCCACAAAAATATATTTAAATCAAATTGTTGTCATTTTTTTACTTTAATTATTTAATTTTATATTTTTAATAACTATTTATTAATATGAGTAATTTTTTACGAGTTTCCAACACAATCCAAGTTTATGACTCCATTACGAGTTTGACAGTCTTGGCCACTGAAACTACCAAGGAAAAACAGAGAGATAGAGAGAGAGAAGCTTCACAGGAAACATAATGTAATGAGATTACACTCAAACACACGTAAACAAAAAGTAGGCCAAGAAAATGAAAGCATCATTGTTGTCGCCACAAATTTCCCAAGTCCTGTTACTGGGTTATAGTGGCCCTTCTCTGTCCCTAGCTGTAGGAGTAGCTGGAATTGCATCAACCATATAACGAGTTGATTCTGTAGTACCATTGAGGAGGAAAAGGGAAAAAATCATAATCTGATAAGGAGAAAATCTAATTTTCGTGCAGCACACCAATGCGCAAGTTTCTGTGGTACAACATAGTATGGACAATTCAATGCAATAGTTCAACGCAATATACACAATTTGACCTTTAGAGGCCTTGGCTATCAAATGTCCGTATCCTTTGTGGTTATGATGTTTTTTTTTTTTTTACCAGACTTTGTGGTTATGATGTTTGCTCAACTGTTTTCTGCCTTTTGTTCTGAATAGATCAACACAATAAGCAGTCTGCGCCTATATATTCCAAAGGATTTTCTGTCATTGGAAGCTAGCGAAAACATGCTGAAGAAAGTGTCAGAAACTCTCTGGATTTGCTGAAAAAGGGTTGCCCCTTCTAGATCCTGTAGAGGACATGAAGGTTTCTCATCTTTTTATTATATCTTCTCTTCACCCTCTTGGGTTTAATTCCAACAAAATTATTGTAGTTTTGACTTCATTTCCTTTTAGATTCACAGCAGCTCATACAAAAAGGCATCCCGGAGATTAGAGGCCTCGGAGCGGCTGTTTGAGAAGCATGAAATCGTAAAATCTCCATGTTTGAAGCAAAACTAAAGGCTTTGCGTAAGAAGCAAGAACTGGCTGCAAAGATAAGGTCAATTAAGAGAACATTAAGAAATTCTACTGCTTTGGCTTTTAGGGATGAACGTAAGGCAAGAAAGAGAGTTCTTCGGGGGCTAGTGTAATGAAATTTGTTGATTGCTTCGATACTTTCATCATTGTAGTGTAATATCTTAATTGTGGTATTGATGTTTTTGCAAGTCTACTGATTGACTGGGTGTTTGCAGTGATCTTCAATTTTAACTTACAGATATATTACAAGTGAGAATGTTGTGGAATTAAAAGGGAAGGTTGCTGGTGAAATTAGCAGCGCTGATGAGCTGACCCTGACTGAACTCATGTTTAATGGGGTCTTAAAGGACATAAAGGTGGAGGAAATGGTTTCTCTGCTCTCTTGTTTTGTATGGCAAGAGAGAATCCATGATGCTGCTAAGCCCCCCGAAGAACTTGGCCTGCTCTTTGCTCAATTGCAAGAAACTGCTAGGAGGGTTGCACAACTTCAGCTTGAGTGCAAGGTAATGAATGAATCCACTGCTTCCCTGGCATTAGATTATTTGTTCATAACTAACTGTGACTGAATCCATTGTTTCCCTGGCATTAGATTATTTGTTCACAACTAACTGTGATTATGCATATTCTTGTACCGAAACACGAACTAAATCAGGTTCAAATTGATGTGAAGAGTTTCGTGAGTTCATTTAGGCCTGACATTATGGAAGCTGTTTATGCATGGGCGAAAGGATCGAAATTCTATGATATCATGGAAATTACTCAGGTTTCTGAGGGTCGCTTGATTAGCGCAATTAGAAGACTTGAGGAACTTCTTCAGCCGCTGATACAGGCAGCCAAATTAACTGGAGAAACGTAGCTTGAGGCTAAGATTGAAGAAGCTGTTTCAAAAATCAAGAGGGACATTGTATCTGCCGCATCCCTTTATTTATAGGACAGTTTCTGGCAGAAGAGACAAATGATGAATTACCCTTGCGTCTCGGCGTGGGATTACCGCCCATTAATTTTGTAGTATTTGACTGCCAAATCATCTTAAATTATTCGTAGCATTCTGTTCTTGCTGTCCTCATGCTTTTAAGGGTAGCTTCATCAGAGCAATTAGATAACTCTATAAACTTCGGCAGACAACACTGGTAGCTATGTACATGGGAGAAACGCAGTTTGAAGCCCGGGTTTGAAGAGGCTGTTTTAGATTATCAAGGGGGATGGTGCTGCATCCCTTTATTTGTACTAGTTTCTAACAGAGGACACAAATGAGTAGTATGCGTGCAAGCAAAAGTGGAATTTCCTTCCTTGAATTTTGGAGTCTTTGCATGTTACAGTCGTAAACCATTTTAAATTATTTGTAACAGTTTATTTATTTGATGCGTGCATAACTGCTTTGATGTGCGCCCCTTGGATGGTTGTCAACGAAAATATTTCTTGGATGAACTGATGAAGTACATAAGATGGAAAAGTAATTTTTTAAAGATTTTTTAAATATTTTGCTTAGTTAATGTGACCGAGTCCTAACACACCTTGGTGGGAAGTATCAAAATTTTATCAAGAAATGCATTATATACTTATGCATCTTCAGTTCGTTTTATTTGAGGAGCTTTTATTGAATCCTAATTAACTAAATGCATACAAATGCAATAAAAGAAGGAGTCGGGTTTGAGATTAATCTTTTAATATACTTATGAAATTTTGTAATACCTGCTAATACTTAAATGGGTCGGGTTGTAGGTCCATAGTTTATTTGTTATCTAAATTTATTTCAATTTTATGATCTCTTTATCTCTTACGTCAGTTTCTCAATTCTTTCAACTTTATACAGATGTGATATGTTTTATGGTCAAATAACCAAAATTTGTATGTGCATATGCTCTCTCTCCATATATATGTGGCTCATTTTTATTATTTTATTTTAAAAAGTTATATTTTTAAAAATACAAAGCAAAAGAAGAATATTTTGAGGCAGAGAGAAATGAGAATTTCTTCAAATAACAGGGGCGTGAATACAATCCATATACATATGCCTTATTTTTTATTATTTTATTTTATAAAAGGAAAATTATTTTTTGAAAAATACATAGAAAGTTATAAATTTTCAAGAAAAACATATCATCATTGTTTCAATAAGAAGTGGCGAAGAATACAAATAGAATGACATATTCTAATTGAATCAAATATGTAATACACCTTATAAATATCTTTTAGTTATTTCAAATCTAATCATACGTAGTGACACACTACAGTGTGCATTGCACAGGGGAAAAATTTAGTTTTAACTGTAACTAAAGAAAGGGTGAACGTGCAACAATATTTATAAATTTTTATCCAAAATGTAATTACTATCATGAGCTTCTTTTAAGTGTAAAATACCCAGAGTAAACATGATACCGTCGTTAAATTTGCATTTGTAGTAAAAGGTGTAAAAGTGGTTGGAAAGATTAACACGCGGGATGTTGCTTTTGTAGTTCTCCTTGGCTTCATCAGATTAATCAGTGTCTAATGTAATTTTTACATACCGGCGGATTTAATACAAAAGAAAAGATTAATAGCAATAGTAGTTGTTATTCTTACACAGTAATTCATACTTTCGTTAAATCTTAAAATGTTATACCAATTTATTAAGATAGAATTGTTGTCATGTTCTCTCTACCTTCCCCAATGAAATAAGTTTCAATGATAAGAAGTTATTATTACATCGCGCTATTTAGATTTGACCTGGGCGCTTTATATTAAATTTTGTTTTTTCACTTTTATTTTCTTTTAAAAAAATCATTTTAATGAATGCGAAATCTAAAATAAAATAATCTATTCGGTGCCAATTTTTTTAAAAAATAATTTTTTGTTTACAAATCACTATTAGTTAAAAGTTTTACATTAAAACTGTTGAAATTATATTGTATTTAAAAAATATAGATCTCACTACAATGATGAGATATTTATTATCGTATAAGTATTAAAATTGATTCGCTTCTCCAATATTTCAACTCCTGGATAATTTAAAATGTTCTATTTCACACATGGGTTTCCGTGTTAAAAACTTCAACCATTTAGGAGGCATTGATTTCTTCCTGTTCTCTTAATGGAAGAAGAAGTTTAATGCCCTTATCATTAAAACACTTAATTAAATTAGGTTTAATTAATTTGTAGTTTAGGATTAACTTAATTAGACCTGGGAAAGCGGGCTAGCGGTGCAGATACGAGCCAGCCCGTCGAGGTGAGGGCCGAAGTAGTCCACCTGCCAGCCCGAGCCCGCCTAAAAAATTTTTTTTTAAAAAATTTATTATATTAGTATGAGTTAAGCCTAGTTTGAAATATTAAAATTAAGCTCCGAGTTTTAAACTTGACTAATGGATTCTAATAAAAAAAAAAAGAGAATTAATTTATAATTTTAGAAGATATTTAAGAAAAACTAACATATTTTTTTTTATAAATAATTAATTTAACTAGTTTTCTTATCCAAATTAATTAAGTAAATCTTTTATGTATGTGTATGTGTGACTATATGGGAATCACATGTTCATCTAATTGCATGAAGCCGTGTATAGTAATGACAAATAGATATAAAAATAAAAGATGGACGGTGCTCTTTATATAACCATACACATATATATGAAGTGATTAATTAATTATATATATAATGATATGAATGAGGTAATGTCCATATGAAATTTGAGGGTCAAAATCATCTAACTATATTATATAATGTATTAAAAATCAGAAAAAGTAAAAAAAAAAAAAAAGCAGGCTGGCCCACCAACTCGCAGGCCAGCTCGCGACGGAGCGGGCCAAAAGTGGTGCAAGCTAGAGTAGCCTGCACTGTGGCGGGCTGGCAAAACGCCAACCCGAGCTCGCCTTTTTTAGCGGGCTGGGCCCGCAGGCCCAGCCCGTATTATCGACTCTAAACTTAATATGAGTTTCTCTGGCTAAAAATTTAGATAATGAAAAATGCAATAAAATTGACCTAAACTAAAATACAAAATTTTAATTATAAATGCAAGATGAAAATGTCCTAAAATCTATATAAAAATTAAATGAAACTAAATAAATGCAAATGTAATTTTGGGATTTTTTTTAGAAATAAAATTAAAATGATAAGTAAAGAAAATTAACTAAAGAACAAAGAAAATTAACAAGTAAAAGTGAGAGGTTTGTCTTCAGATATAGTAGAGGGAACAATTTAGGATTCACATAGAATTAACTTGCATAAACTAAAGCAATTAATTAGACCAAAGGAAGTGACAAGAGAGTGGAATTAATAGGTTTAATTACCCTAATTGATACAAAGGGAACCCTCAATTTTAAAATCTCTTAGACCATTAGAAAACTTATAATGGTATAAGGTTGGTTAATTAAACTCATTAAAACCAATGACAAATAACTCAAATTAATTCTAGAAACTATGCTTAGAATTATCAATTAAATAATTAGATAATTTACTAACTCAATTAAACAATCAAGAGACAGAAGAATCCAAATTTGCAATTTAAATTACATTGATAATCAAATTCATAATAAAAACTCAATTATAAATTCAAGTAACAATGTAAAGGTTCATAAACATAAATTTTTGCAAGTATTTTAGCACAAATATAATCTAAATATCAATTCAATTCAAAAATAAAAATGACAATTTAAAACTAAATTATCTCAGAAAAGTACAACTCAAAATTATTTAAAATTAAATAATATCAAATCTTTAAATGAAAAAGATAAATAGAATATCACTTTCTTATAGTTTTTAAGTGCTAAGTTAAGGCTCAAGCCTCTTTTATGCCTCTGTGAATTTGTCTTCTAATAGGCCCAGGCTTCTATCAAAGCAAATTCTCACCCCGGACTGATATTTTGAAGACGCTAGCCGAAGACCTGGCCGGTTTATCCGCGCCACGTAGAATTAGAAGAGATGGTTAAGTTGCTGGGCCTAGCCCCTTTTGTCTAAAAAAAAAAGCTCTTTTTTTCCAAGCTGGATGAAACTCGCGGGCACGGCCGATGAAGAATGGGAAAAGGAATGATGAGTCTATGGGCACGTGGAATGGAGGAATTGGTGATGATGACTAATTGGATTTTTGGTACCTGATAGAAGTAAGGAAGGAGTGGTTGTGGAGTGACGATGGTGAGAGAGGATGTTGTTTGGTGACTATGAAACGAAGGGAATATGAGGTAAAGCGTGAATAGTGATTATGGAATGAGTGGAATATTTTAACGGAAGAAAATTTTTTAGATGCAGAGCTCAAACCTATTAATAATTAATTAGCTCAGTTGATATTAATTATTGGATTGTACTTAAATTATAAGAAATAATCTTACATCATAAGATTTTCTATATGTTTTTTCTTAATCTACAAGAATTTAACTGTATCTATTAATATAGATTATATCCAAATGTAACATAATCTATATCAAAATTAAATCAAATATAAAAAAAATGAGGCAAGAAATTGCATTAAAAAGCACAATTATCCAGCAGATCTTGATCCAAGCTTTCTCTGAAAAGGCTATTACAAGCATTGCTCCTGCTGGAAGTGGCCACCACATTTGAACCATATCTCGTTCATTTTTTTCATCTGTTTTGTAAACTCATAACGTGGTCAACAATGTTGGCCGTGCCTACGCATTTGACTCCAAAAATAAACTAGTAGGGCGTTCCAGGCTAATTAATCAGGATTAATCAAAATTGATATTTCATTTCACTTGTCAAGATCAATTTGATTGATTTGGACAATCCTTTAAACTAAATTAAACGATGAGATATTTTAAACTGATGGTTAAATACTATATTAACTCAGCACAGATATGATTTTTAAAAAAATCGTGACTCTTCTATAAGATCTTATTATACAACAGAATATCCAACTACCAGTATATGCC